CTGCACCCCAAATCCCTCTCCCTGCACCCCAAATCCCTCTCCCTGCAGCCCCAGCCATCCCACGGGGAGCTCGGAGGGTGCAGAGGCCCTGGTGGGATGGAGGACCCTTGGGCCCGTTTCCCAGCCTGTCAGTCATCCCAGGCTTTCACTTCCCTGACCTGCTTCTCCAAAAACCTGTTAAAAGCGTGTTCCTCTCCCCAAAGTGTCGCAGAATAAATTTGCAGAGAAGTCATTTCTAAGCAAAAGCCAAAAAAAAAGGAAAAAAAAAAAAGATCCTTTTGATGCACCTTCCATCAAACTTCCCAGCTCCTCCCCAGAGATTTCCTGGTTGTAGTTCAGCCCAGCAGATGTTTCTGATCCTTCAGGAACCCCCTTGAAGGGGTTCTGGAGCTCTGAAAGTCCTCGGCACCCCCAGGGAATTCTGCTGGTGCAGCTTTCCCCACCAGCAGAGAGTTCTGAGCACCATCATCCCTTGAACCTGCAACTTCCAGAGCTGGAAAAGTCTTGTTTCCGTGTCAGAGGGACTCAATTCTCCAGTGGCCACTTCCCTGGAGCAGTGCCAGTGCCAGAGGTGACAGGAGGGGGGTTAAATTTGAGCCCCACAGCGACCAAGTTCATTCCTGCTGGCTGGGAGAGGCAACAATTCCAAGGCATCTCTAGCCATAAAACAAGAAAAACGGGGAAATCAGCAAGAAGTTGAGTCAAATGACTCTTCATAAAGCAAATTCCCCATCCCCTGGCAGCTATTTTAATCTCCTGTTTAGCTTTCCAGTGGGAGGATTCAATTTGTATTTAAATAAACCCCTCCAGCGTGGGGCCAATGGAACACAAGGATCTTCAGTGCAGAGAATTCACTTCTGAAGGGCTCTCAGAAGATGCCACCAAACTGGATTTTAACAGGGGGCCTGTTGGCAGGCTGGAATTATTGGACACTCAGTATCTGTTAGCTGTTATTATTATTTAGCAGACTGGTTCCAGGTGAGTCCAGGAGCTCCAAACCAAGGTTTCCTGCAAGCTCTGAGCTCCTGCCACAATCCACAAGTTTAATAAAAAAAAAAAAAAATCATAAAAGGTCTTCTCAAACCACTGAAGCCCCAAATCTCTCCTCCCTGCAGCCCCAAATCTCTCCTCCCTGCACCCCAAATCTCTCCTCCCTGCAGCCCCAAATCTCTCCTCCCTGCAGCCCCAAATCCTTCCTCCCTGCAGCCCCAAATCCTTCCTCCCTGCAGCCCCAAATCCCTCTCCCTGCAGCCCCAAATCCCTGTTTTCCACTGGGTGTGGAAAGCCCAGTTTTCTGGGAGTAGGGAAAAGGAAGAGGGGGGGGTGCAAGACACAGGCTGGTGTGATTTCCAGCAGGAATTTCTTCCTGGAAAAGGTTGTCAGGTGTCCAGGGAAGAACTGGACGTGGCACTCACAGTGGGGTTGTGGGCACAGCTTGGGCTCAACGACCTTGGAGGTCTTTTCCAGCCTAAATATTCCGGGATGAGCCGATGTCCAAGCCCCAGGGTTGGCAGCTCCTCTCCATCCCCACGTTCCCGTGCTGGGCACCAGCTCAAAGCCACCTTGGCACCGGGTGACCTCTGTGGCTGGTGGTGGCCCAGGGGCTGTGCCAGGTTTGCAGCTGGTCCCTGGAATCCCATTGCACAGCAGATTCCACTTTGGAGCTGGGGATAAACCCTGGTTTACAAACCCCCCTCCTGGAATACAACAGCAGGGCAGGGTTTGGAAGCATTTTGGAGCTCCTGCTCCATGGGCACCTTGGCTCAGGATCCTGGGTTTGGTCCCAGGTGAGTTTTTGGTTGGTTGGTTGAGATTTAATTTTTTGCATTTTTTTTTTTTTTTGGGGGGGGTGGTTTTGGGTTTTTACATCCTCCTTTTAAATTTTTCTTCCTGCTTTTTGTCTCACCTGTTTGGTTGGGCTCCTCCTCCTGTGATGAGTGGGGTTTTCACATCAACCAGGGGCCTCTGGATGGAAGGAAAAACAGGATGGGTTATGATAAAACAGGGAGCAGGGATGGTGGGACACACACCAGAGCTCTGCCTTCATCATCCTCATCCTCACAGCCCTACATACCTGATACTAATAACCAAATTTTAAAAACTAATAATTATCAAAGAGAAACATTAAAAATTTAATATAAATAAATGAAATATAAATATTAAAAACTAATCATTAAAACAGATCCTCTTTCATCTTCAAAACATTTCATTCACCCATTTAAAAACAAAACAACAAAGAAACTCCACCAATGACCTTTCACTGGCCACTATAATTTCCTGGATGGAGGGATGGGGCCTCCCCTTCAGGGATGAAGGGTCTGCACCAGCCAAAAAAAGAGAGAGAGAGACAAGAGAAATGAGAGGAAGGCAGGGGAAGAAGAGGAGTTTAAATGTGACAAAAGCAGCTTGGCCATAAAACCCCAGGTGTTCCAACCTGCCTGGTGGATGAGTCAGAGCCAACAGGCTGGAAAATAACTGTCTGTCTGGGAATGATGGAGCTCACACTCCACGTTTGTGCCTCAGAAAAGCGGAAGGATTTTTTTGTCCAGGCTGCTTGGAAATGATAAAGGAGGTGAAGGAGGTAAAGGGAGGGGGGAGAAATAATAGTCCTGAAAACCTACAGCACTTTTCTGCAGCCCAACATCTGTTTCCATGGGAACAGCAGGAGAGTTTTTTGCAGGAATTCCTGCAAATTACACAAATAAGCCCCACGGTCAGGTTTGATTTACCCTCTTTGTCACCTCACTTCAGGCTGAGCCAACTCCATCCGAGGAGCACTAACCCAGTCCTGGCTGGGAAAGGGGTGAGGAGCTGCACTGAATAAAAAAACAGGGGGGGAAAAAAAGCAGCAAAAGTCCCCCCCAGCAGCCCAGTGAGAGGCTTTTCTTTGAGAAGAGATGAGGTTGTTGCAGATAAAGAGGAAAACCACGACCTGCCCGGGCATCTCCCTGTGCCAGCAGTGGAGAGACACCATCCATCCTCCCCCTGTCATTTCTCCCAGAGATTTGGCGAGCTGACAGTTAATTAACCAGTTAATTAATTAATTCTCCCTCCTGCAGGGCCCTGAGCTGGTTGCAGTGCAGGGAGTCACCTTAACAGGAGCAGACAGGAGCCCAGAGCTCCGGGATCCCTCAATCCCAATCTTTATCCCACGGGGAGAAGTCCACCAGCTGCGTGTGCCCGTCTGACAAACACCCAGAGACAGCCCTGCAGACAGGCAGGCACTTGGAAAAGACAGTGCTGGGCAAAAAAACCCCAAATAAACCCACCCTCCTGCACAGGAAAGCAGCTCCACTCAGCAGAACGAGCTCGGAGTTGCTTTGTGTGCTCCTCAGAAAAATAAAGGATAATTCCACGTTTATGCACAGCTGGAAAAGAGCTGTTTGCTCCCAGGGAGGGGGTTTATGGACACAGGAGGGCTGGGAGCAGCTGAGCCCCAGCCAGGGTTCCCAGAGTGCTGGATAAAGGCAGTTTGCTGGGATCACAACCTGGGTGTTCCCAGTGTTCCCATCTGCCCTCCTGAGCAGCCCAAGGGGTGAATCCATCCCAGAGCCGGGTCCAAAGTGCCTCTGGAAAAGAGCTGGATGAGCCTCTGAGCGAGGGAAGGGACTTTGAACAGCAGCATTTTGTCCTCCAGGTCTCAAAGGCAGGAGGGTTAATCATTGATGGGCCAGGCAGAGATAAGACACAGGAAGAGGCTGTGGAAAAACTGGATTTAAAAAAAATCCTTTTATAAGGATGTGAGGGGGAAAAAATAAAATCAGTGTAGAATTCTGATTTTCTATGAAAAAAATAACATTTTGATACAGTTTGGTGAGTTAACTCCTGATCCACCTCAAAATTTTTCATTTAAATCGCAGAGAAAGTTGGTTTTCTGTCCTTTGGGGGTTAAATGTCGGAGCATTTTGTGCTTTAAAAAGAAAAAAAAAAACCAGCTTGAAAACAAAACCCTTGGAGGAGGTGGGTGGTAACGGGATGTCAGTCCATCAGTAATTCCATCCACACTTCCAAGGTGGGAGCTGAGCAAAGCTGGGAAAAGGGGCTGGGGGGGCAAAGAGAAGTGAGACAGTTCAGGAAAAAAAAAACCCTGAATTCTCACTACTGACTTTACAAAGGTATATTTTAGATGTAGAACCCTGTCGTTGAATCAAACAGGAACCTTGGAATTAGGGCAGAATAAAAAAAAATAAACCCAAGAACCACAAAGCCAGGCTTCTTGTTAGAATGAGCTTTGGAGATTGACCCAGGTGCCACTTTTCCTGCAGCTGGCACAGAGGGATCATGGAATCATGGAATGGTTTGGGTTGGAAGGGACATTAAAGCTCATCCAGTGCCACCCCCTGCCGTGGGCAGGGACACCTTCCACTAGCCCAGGTTACTCCAAGCCCTGCTCAACCTGGCCTTGGCCACTTCCAGCCACAATTCTTTGGGAATTCCATCCTCACCGCACTCCCAAGGAGGAATTTCTTCCAAACCATCTAAATCTCCCCTCTTCTAGTTTAAAATCACTCCCCCTTTGCCCGGTCACTGCCGGCTCTCGGATAACCCAGTGCTGCTCCACTCTCACCCTGGACGCCTCCTATTCCCAGGAAAAGGTGGTGCCTGGGATGCAGCAGGCAAGGAATGCCCAGGAATGGCAGGTGGGGCACGTCTGGGATCTGCTGCTGGAGGACTGAGAGCGAAGCAGCAGCAGCAGAACACTCGCCTCGAGCTGAACCACGACCACAGGTCAGGGCCCCCCTTTGATCCCCGTGTTCCCTGGCAAGGCAGAAAAACCACTTCCCTGATTTTCTAACAGCAGCAGGAGACGGTCTCCCAGGGTTCCCTCTTCTGTCTGTGCAGAACTCAGAAGAATGGGAGTGTATTTTCACAGAGCTGCTCTCACAAAGGAGCTGGGAGCTGAAAGGGGCTCGGAGGAGTCTGTGGAGCCTGTTCTGCTTTCAGCAGCTCAGCGGTGAATTCTCACACGGCCACCCACGTTCACAGCCCACCTGAAGTTCAGCCATTAAAGCAGCGACCCTCCAACCCCCCTAATTGTTCATATCTCACTTTAATGCACCCTTGAGGGGGGTTATTGAGCTGCTGTCCTGTCAGGCAGACAAAAGGATCCTCAGACACCTCCGGGTGTGAAGAGCACAAACCAGAGAGAGGAAGCAGCAAGAAGGGGCTGAGGGAACACCAGTGACTGTCACTGTGTGCTATTAAAATTGATATAATTTCCAAGAGCATAAACAAAGCCCTTCTTCCAAGAAGCAGCACAAAGGAACTGGGAGTTTAACTCGCCCCTCTTACAAAAGAAAGCTGGTGGAAGTGGAAGGCAGGCCACAGAAGGATGCTGTAATTAACTGATTGGGGGTAATTGCTGCATTTGTCATGAGCTAATACAAAGAACATCAGTTTATATCAACTTGTAATTTCCTTCATTTAGCTGTAGAGACATAAAATATTCATGCTTTAGTAGATTACTTACTTCAGTATAGCCAGAGGCACAGGCTGCTGTCACTTTGAAGTCTTTTGTTTCAAAGGTTACTCCAGCACTTCTGTCTGAATGAGGAAAAAAAAGGGGGAAAAAGGGCCTTAAAATATGAGGGAATTAACCTGAAATATCTACACGGGGTTGCATAATTTGATACTTTTAAAAAGCCCCAGTTCAGGCCATCTTTACAAGTGACAGTGCTTAATTACCCTGCTGTGCATTCCCCGGAGCACTCGGTGATCACAGAGGTGGGGGGTGAGTGTGTTGAAGTGATTTGCCATCAGCCCAGAACCCCGGGCAGGCACCTCCACCAGCTGATTCCAGAACCACAGAGGGCCTGGAGACAAAGCCAGCAGCAAAGCAGCCAAACAAAATCCCACTTCCCCAAACTGTCTGAGCCTCCAAACCGGAGCAAAGAAGTGGTTAAGAGCCCATTCATCTGCTGGGGGATCACAGAGAGCAGTCACTGCTCCGGCCCCACACGGGAGAAGCAGCAAATAACCTTTTCCTTTAAATCATTTTCAATCACCCAACAAAGGAGCTGTGTTTGAACCAGCTCTGCTTTTGTTATGACAGCTGCTGTACTGTCAGATTAGTCCACTGCACAGCTGTTGGGCTCAGTGTTTTTTCAAAACATGTCTAAACCGCTCAGGATTCGGGAACTTCTGGGTTTTTTTATTATTTTTTAAACAGCACCAGAGAAATCACCCCACCAAGCTAATTGCTTCAACAAAGCTGGATATTCATTACAGGCTGCAGAGTAAATGGGGAAGTTGGGGCTTCATCATCTTTGAAGAGAACTTCAAAGGACGTGACAATAAAGGAATAGGTGGGGGCAAATCGGTGCTGAGGAACTCCCCCAAAAAAAGGCTTTGGGAGGTTAAAACACAGAATGTTCTACTCGAGTAAAAAAGAGTCGAAATCCCTTTCAGCTCAGACGTTTTTCAGAATACCCCAAGACCTCTGCAACGGTCCACCTACTCCATTCCCTTTATTCCTCCTCCTTTTATCTGTCCATCCAGAGTGCTCCTGCTGCAGGATTTTATTCCCCCTCCATCCAGCTCCCTGCCAGAGCCTTCATTTAGTGGATGTTTTCAGTGCTGTTTTCAGCCATGTCAGCCTAAAAGAAGCAAACAGAGAGAGAGATTAAGTGCAGCCCAGTAACCCAGAGGTGGGTTGCTGGCGTTTATTTGACACATCCAAGCCAGGAAAAGGCACGTCAGGAACCCAAAGCCCAGCTCAGCTCTGTCAGGGCCGGGTGAACACAATGGGTTATTCCCAGCCATGCTCCTGCAGCACATTTCCATATATATTACACAGCCCAAATGAATCATTTCTGGCACGGGAATATTGTGCCTGACTGGATGCAACAGCTGCTCCTTCCTTCATGCCTCGCTCTCTGGTGACCTGCTTTTGATTAGAACATTTGCCACCTCCATGAGGGGGCAGGGGGGGGAAACAAAACCCTCCCCAGCTCACACACCCCGGGTGTTTCGAGGAGCAAAGCTGCCCGAATTCGCAGCTCATTTGCTTCCCCTGAGCAGGGCAGAGGGTCGGAGCTGCTCTTTCATGTCTTTTTTTAGGGGGGATTTTTTTTTTTCCCCCTCTTTTCTTACTCTATGCTGGAAAGTAAAGCAGAGTGGGACAGGATAAAAGGGTGACATCCAGATATTCTTTGGGTTTATTTGTTCACAGGACACCAGGCATGGGTTCAGACGAGCAGCAGCAGCTGAAATTGCTTTAGAAAATGAGGTTTTTATATAAACAGAGCCCCTTTGCCATCAGCACTCCCTTCATTAGGGCCTCCACAAACATTGGCCGTTTTCCCCACTGGATTTCTCAGTGTCCCAAGGGAGCCTCAGGAGCAGCCCAGGAGAGGCTGGAGGGTGATCCCACATCCCAGAGGTGAAGCTCTGCTCCAGGGACCTCTATTTATCAGCCCACAAAACCTGGGAGGAAGGAAGATGGGCACTGCCCCCCACAGATCACAGTGGGAACAGCCCACGTGGATCCAGCAGATCCCACCATAATCCACCTTTAATATTACTTTCTAGGTTTTAATATTTACCTTTAACATTACTTTTCTTCCATTCATAGAATCATTAAGGTCAGAAAAGAAACTCCAAGATCATCAAGCCCAACCTTCATATTAACCCATATTACATTTAATTTCGCTCTGGGGAGACTAAAGAAAAATAAAAAAATCACAATACACAGTACACTTGACTTCTGTCCCACTGTGTCACCTTTTCACAAAACACAGTCGTGGAATATTCTGAGTGGGAAGGGACCTCTAAGGACCATCAAATCCAACTCCTGGCCCTGCACAGGACAACCCCAAAACCCCATCACGTGCCTGGTGTGAGTATCTAACTGGTGTGAATATCTTACCAAGCTTAATGACATAGTCACTACTTAGAAACACCATAAAACATAAATATATATAAATATATATATTTATTTATTTATTCAGGCTTCTAGAGTGAGGTTTAAACATTTCCTGCTGTCGCCTCACAAACAGCTTTATTATTACACATTTCACATCGCTGTGGATACTTCCAGACAGGAGGTTATTTTTTTTTTTACCCACCCTTTTTTCCTTAATTAAAATCGTTATCACCGAAAGCAGTTCCTATTTTTCATCATAACCTTCGTGGCAGCAGAAGCTCAAAGCATCGTTCCTCCGTGCTATTATAAAGCAATGAAGTTCAAAGGCAAAGCCAGCCAAGACAAAAGCCAGTTGATGGGAAGAGATCAAGACTCGAGGAGCTCAGGTGTGCACAACCCATCACCTGCTCAACAGGTCAAAGCAGCTCCACTTAATGACCACTTAGAAGCTTTATCCCTCCTGCAGATCAGACTCTGCCTTTATTGTTCCTTCCAAGTGTAAAAGAGGTTAAAATAACAGTGTGGGGCTGAGGAAAAGCTGAAGAGGTGCTTCTGGGGTTGGAAAGGCTGGGAATGGGGTGATTGTGATG